GCTAGTACTTCTCGCTTAGTAGTTATATACCTAGTCTTAACGTCTAAAAGTTTAAAGGATATAAACATAAGGATATATATCTAGTTTTTAATAGTTCTAGTTACTTCTGTCTTTACTAAGGTATCTACTAGCTAGAACAAGATCTCTCCTAATCCCCTCTTACTTATATCTCTATACAGGTAGTACTACTTTATAAGATTAGAGCCTACTATAACATTATTAATAATATAATCTTTAATATACTAAAAAGATTAGTCTTACGCTTTACCTTATTTAAAAGGTTTTTCTACTTACTTTTTTCTTAATGATTTCTTTCTAGTCTTTAGTAGTATAGTAACCTAATACTAGTATAATTCCTTAAGAATAAGAACATAGTCAGCTCTCTTAAGTATAAAAATATATAGAAATAGTATAATCTATATAAAATCGTCTACCTCTTATTAATAGGTTAGGGTAGGCTATAGTACTATATAGTTCTTATACCTTAATAATAGTCGTAATCCTGTTGAACTAGCTAAGAATCTAATTACATTAATAGAGCTAAAGAAGAAATATAACTTTAAAGGTAAGAGAGAGAGAGGGCTAAATACGACCTATAAGAAATATTAGTTATATAAGAACCAGAACATCTCTTTAAAGCTAGTCGTAGTACTAATATAGTTATTTATAAACAAAGTAAACCTAACTTTACTATAGTCCCTAATTAATGTAGGTATTATAAGATAAGTGTTAGTCTTAGAGAGTAGTCTAAAAACTAAATCTATAAACTAACTATAAGTATAAGGCGTACCCTTTAACCCTTAGCCTATTTGCCTAAACAGATATTAGCTATTTAGTACTATTATCGCTACCTTATATTTATTACCTAGTCTTATTAGTACTGTCTAATAACTATTTGTTATATCTAATAAGAAAAACACTATAAACTCTAGCTTAACTAGGGTGTCTAAGACTTCTTTAATACTATACATAAGGTAGACTAGTTTAATAGTTAAAGCATTAACTAGTATAAAGTTATAGACTACTTAGAATTAGTTAGATCCCTTTTTCTTTAGTAAGAACAGAGTCTTTACCTCTTATAGGCTTAATCTTCTTACTAAAATTCTAGCTTTCTCTATCTTAGGGAATACCTTTACTACGAATTCTCTCTCTTGTCTAGTATATTACTTAGGTTTGTCGACTATTAGTATTACGCCTAAGATAAGGTTAATAGTATGTTTAATTAAGTTAGTAGCTTTTACGTCCTATATCCGTGTCGTAAAGTAATCCTTCTATATATATAGTAATCTCTTAGTCTTTACTATTTTATCCTTTATGTCTATAACATTACTAATATTAATTCTAATCCTATTAAACTATTTGTTAATATACTATTATAAGGCGTCTAACATTAGTCTAGGTATAGGCCTTCTGTTAACTAAGAAGCCGGATGTAACTCCTTATAAGATAGGCTGATTTACTAAGGGCAGGTAGCTATATAAAGATAGTCGTAATAAAAATAGTACGTTTAAATCTTAATTCTCTAGAGCTTGTCTAACAGATAATAATATATATATAATAATGTTAATATAGTTAGGATTTAAACAGACAGATATAAGGTTAACATAGGTAGACGTGTTACTATACTAGTAAGGAGTCTACTCCTCTACTAATACATGCCTTTTCCTGCCTAATATACTACTTAGTTAAACGTCTTAACTTCTTATAGTAGCTAATTTATGTCTTCTTTAGCATCTTTATTAGAGCTAGTATTATTATTGTTATTAGTGTCGTTAGAGTCCTTAACTAGAGTAGTATTACCTGTCGCCTTTAGTTTCTACTAATTAATAGTAATATAAAGAGTTAGGGCTATTAATGCTAGTACATCTATAATTAGGCCGCTTTGTTCTTATATACGTAGAGTTCTCTTTCTATAATCCTTAATAGCTCTAACTAGAGCTATCTAGTGTCTAGACAGTAAGATGTTATAAGAGTCGTTAATACTTATAACAAACGTATAGAGAAACGTTCTAATACCTTCTACTATTACCTCTAGGTTTACGTATTTAGTAATAGCGATTTTCTGACTATCTACAACCGTTACATACTATCCTATATCTAATTAATAGACCTTTAAGCCTAGCTACTATACTACTTAAGGAGGGATTAGCTCTACTACTACTCTCTTATCGACTAGAGCCTATACAAACTTTTGGCTATCTATATACGTATTTATATAGAGGTACTACGTTTCTAGTATATTAACTAGTCTATTATCTATAACCTAAGGTAGAGGTCTGTTTATAACTACTATAGCATTAAGATTCTTACGCTAACTACGTCTACTTAGTACTTTAGCTTAGAGGTATTACGCTAGTTAGGCTTAAATCTATAGTAATTAGTCGAGTAGCTAGCCGAATTTAAGAGTAATATTAGTATTATAGAGAAATTCTCTAACATTAAATCTCGTAAGTACTACCTTATCTAACAACTTGATTAGGATAGATTCTTTTAGGCCCGGCTTAGTATAGTTAGGTTATAAGGATAAAGGAGAAGGTATAGCTAGTAGTTAAGGAGTATACTAATACCCTTATAGCTAGCGATCTAGTATAGTTTACGACTCCTTAGCTTTAACATCTCTTAGATCTTTAACTCTTAATGTTAGATTAATTTCTTAAGACACGTATAGCTAGACGTAGGGTCTAGTCTATAAGAGACCTACTATAGTCGGCGTTTATAACGTTAGTAGAGGAGTCTGCCTATCTTCTTGCCCCTTACCCTTATTTTCTCTTAGTCAAGTATATAGCTACGTTTGATCAGAAGTACGCTAGTTATTTACAGAACGGATTACTAGTATAGTAGGTATTAATAGTATACCTAGAAGTAGCGCTTAGGCAGCTTTTAGTACTACGTTAGTACTATAGCCGTATATTAGTCGCTTATAGTAGAGTATTATAGCTATAGTAGGAAATTCTTTTAGTAACCTTTTAGCTACTAGCTTAAAGGATTCTAATAATAAGGGCTAAGCGGGCTATTAAGCTAGGTAGTTAAATTAATAGGACGTCTAGTTCTACGCGACCTCTTATAGTTCTCTTATAACTATATGTACAGCTGTCTACTATCTGGCTAGTAGTAGTACTATATATCCTGTTCTCTAAGTTCTTATTGCCTTAACCTTCTACCTGTTCTCGCGATACTAGGATTCTGTAACCTTAGTCTATAAACACGTTAATACTATGTGTCCTTAACCTAGATAGTTATAACAAGTACCTGTATAAAATGTCGATCTCTACTATTAGAATAGAGTAGTTAATAAAAAAGGATTTAGGGGACGGTATAAGAGTAGTAGAGCCGTAGTCTTTAATAGTTTAGGCTTTTCTAGACTCTTCTTTAACAATTAATATAGCTTAAAGTTAATTTGATTCTATAAGACTACTGTTTCCTTAAGGGGTTCTTCTTTATTAATTTTAAGGGGATTCGGCTTCTTAATTAGCCTTGTAGTAGTAATAAACGTAGAACGTACATCCTTAAATTTAGTATCCTTAACTAGCTACCTATCCTTGTTAATCTTCTTTACCTAAAAAAGATAGCTCTATATATAGTACTAAAGTTCTACGTTCTTTAGCCCCCCTAATGTTTGCCTAGCGACTTCTAATACTAGTAATGTAGGACATTTTTTACTTAGCTTTTTAATTTGTTATAAATACTATACTTTAGTCTTCTTGTCGTCTTGTTTAAGGTTATAGATCTGTTACTATAGTAGGAATTGTTAGTTAAAATCTGCCTCTTTATCTACTATAAACTTTGTCTTAAATTCCTTCTTTAATGCTTCTTAGTCTACTCTTATAGTCTTTAGTTAGCCCTTATACTATGCCGCTACCTAACTAGTTAGTCTATATCTAAAGACTACTTTTATCCTTCTAGTCCTTTCCTCTTCCTTATATAGATCTGTATAGTATTTAATCGCCTTAATGTATTTACCTGTATCTTCCTCCTTTATTCCTCTAAAGGTTAGTTAAGGGATCGACATTATAATAGTTTAATACTTAGCCGGTACTATAACAAGGGTAGCTAATAGTAAAGTAGTTAATATTCTTATTAACAGCTTTACTACTTCTATAACTAAATAGTCGATCTCTGTCTCTATTAGTCTTAATTAGCTTAATTCTAATACTTCTACAATACTTGTTAATAATCCCTTTTCCTTTAGAGAAAGAGATCTTAGAAAATTTAAAGTAGGTTTAAACAGATTAGACATTAATAAGGAACTTAAAAAGTAAGAGAGAAAATAGACAGAGTAATAAGAGAATTGTGACTAGTGATCCTCGATTACTAATGTGTAGGAAAGTACGACTATACCGCTAGTCGCTCCTTTAAAAATCACCTTAATCTTTAATACTAGTTCTTTATAAACTAAACCCTTCTTCCTATACTCGAATATACTAATAAAACTAACTCTATTAAGATAAACCGATTTTTACTAATCTTCCCTAGGTCGCTATGTAATAAGGGAGGGAGTTCGTGTTTATTAGTAGGTTGTATTCTCTAAGTGGGAGAGTGCTACTATTGTGGGCTTATAGCTAGCTAAGCGAACCCCATCAAATAATAGTACTATCATGTGACCATTTCCCATCGCTACAGTACGGAGTAAAACCCAACCCCATGGGGGGGGCCATCGCAGTCTAAGGTACCTTATCTATAGTGAACTGGTTGGCTCGCTTATCGCTCGCTAAAGGGATGACTAGGTAGACGAGGTGCCTAGTAGGGTAGCGGCTACCTTCCTCTACGAAGGTAATCTTCCCCCAGTCCTCGCCTTCCTCACCTTCAATCTTCCCAAAGTCCTCACCTTCAAGTCTTTAGTCCTCCCAAAGTCTTTACCTTCAATCCTTCAATCCCCCCAAAGTCTCTACCTTCACTCTTCCCAGAGTCCTGACCCCCAGGCTCCTCACCAGCCGCGCATTCTGTCAATCCCTTGCAGTTATTCACAGTCAATTCTCATTGAACTCCAATACAATTGCACGATGAGTCTGGTCCGCCTGTCACCGCAGGTGCAGCGCATTCAGGCTAATTCGCCGTATATTGATATTTACACCAACGCTCCAGTGAGCCCGCTCCGATCTCGACCGTCAGAGCAACATGCGGCCCTCACAGTTCCTCATGCCCACCCCGAACCAAAGAGATGGGAGAACCCCACTGGCTGGGGCGCGAGACACATAAACGACAAAGCCCCTTTTAATCTATGGGATAAGCAGAACCGAAAATTTCGCTCGCCAGATAGAAACGAGCTGCAGTGGCTTCGCAACAAGTTTGGAGACGGCGCGCTTGGAAGAACAGGGTGGTACATGTGGATTGAGACAGCCAACCCGCCACAGCCAGTACCTCTCACGGTTGGATGTATGCCTGTTATGTTTATCGGTATTGGAGAAGAGCGCTGGGAGCCTATCCCACAGTCTCCTTATCCCAATCCTCGAGTTCCAGATCCCTGCCCTGCTGTTCACTGGCCAAGGATGACCTTTCCCACCAAGGAGCAAAGTGTTTCCCTTCTTACAGCATTGAAGCCTATAGCAAATGTGCGCGCAATCTTTTATATGCCACATTGGACAATTGTGGAGCTTGAGTATGGCGATGGTCGTGCTTATGAGTCCAAGTCACTTCCCGGCACCGTGGCAGGACGGACAACACTATACCACCATGCCGAAACCCCGTTCTATAAGTCAATGAGGAATATGACACGTGCGCGCCGCGTTGACCCTGAGCAACACTCCATGACGAGTTTTGGACAAATGCCGCAGGACAGTCAAAATTATATCCGGCAATCGTCGCACCTTAGTCCAGGATGCAGACTCGAGTGTGGCCATGGTATACCAGGTTCCCAGAATGAGGGTATGAATGCCGCAACATCTGCAGGAGTCAAACTTTGGAGATTTGATGGAGAAGAGGTGCTCACTATCTCTCATCATCACGGGTTCTTGATTTCCAACGAAGTGTATCATCCTTTTGTGGACGAAGACAAAATTGGCGATATTATTGATACTAGACCAGAGCTTGATATAGCTTTGGTCAAACTTATGCCTAATGCCTCTGCAAAGTTTACCAATACCTGCTATTTTCAAGCTGAGACACCGCGGATGCTTTTAGAGGGCTTCCAGATTGAACAGGGGTCTTGGTCTGAGGTGGACGGTATGAGCTCAGGACTTGTCAACCTTTTGACATATGGAAAATGTTATTTGAGACCAAAACGCCCAGCCGGGCATCCCGAAATCGAGTCTCGACAATGGCAAGCACGTTCGGTTAATGCAATTTTTGGGGCCGTTAACAACACTATATGCAAAGGAATGTACGGAGCACCAATCGTCCAATGCGAGACGGGTGGAGTAGGAGGATTTTTTCATCTCTCTAATGGGTTGAACTGCCTTACTGCCCATTTAGATGATTTAGTGGCTGAGGGTTGGAAGCTTGCTTAGTCTACCGCGCGCATTCCGCGGACCCCCTTAGTTTACTTTCATGCTGACTGACTTTGCCGCAGATGTACTTAGACGGGCCGTATTCATCCAGCTCCTTAAGACTGCCTGGCCGTGACCTAGCGAACATTCAGTACAGTCTCTTATTAGATACACATCTGTGTTCAGGGTTATACAATCAAATCTGCTCTTTTTAGTAGCTAACTTAAGCTATTTACAGCATTTTCAATTGTTAGGTATAATACTATAGAGTAAAAGAGTTAATAGTAGATAGATAGTAATACTTAAGTTAAAGGTATATTACTTAATAATTGTTATAAGAGATTACTAGGCCTTATTACATAAGGTTTAGTCACAGGTCTAAGAGGTTCTAAAGTAACCTAATTAAGGTTAGTAGAAGGTTTTAGAAAGAGGCTAAGGTTATATAACCTTTACTAAAGGCTTTTTGTTTACTATACTATATAAGCTCTTATATAATTACTATAATCCTTCTTCTTTTAGTAAATTTAATTTATTAGTTTTATAACAGGTTAGAACCTAGTATAAGGTTAGTACTATAACACGTAACCTAAGTACGTAACTAAGTAGACTATTATTACCTTACCTTAACTATAGAGTTTTTCTTTTATCTCTTATATTATATAACTCTCTTTTCTTTTCTTTTTTTCTTTAGAGTATTATTTTTATAAATAATAACTAAAAAAAACGCTATAATAGTTATTTATACTTTTTACTACCTTAAAAACTTAAAAACAAACGTTAGAATTAGAACTAGCGTCTTTAGATACCTTTTAGAAAACTAGTAAACTATAAGTAAGCCTATAGTAACAGATAGTAAGTATACTAGACTTAAATAAAGTTAGTACTACTTACTTATAAAAAAGAGCTAGTACTCTTACTTTTTAGTAAAACGTTATAATAAAGAACTAGTAAGTAGTACTAGTAATAAGAACAATAAGATAAAGATAATTATATAAAGAATTAAGGCTTATATAATACTAAGTAAAGAAGATAAGGTGTTATGTCTTTTATATAACCTTATTAAAGTAATAATAATAGTATTATTATTATTCTTACTACCTATGCCTACTGTATACAGAACCTTTATACTATATAAATCATATAGTAAAACTATACTAAAGCTAGGTAAAAACCTACGTACTACTACTTACGTTTATACTATTATAGTACTACTAAGGCACTAGGTCCTTATTACTACTTTACTAGAACTTAACCTTTTAGCCTAGTAATACTAAACATACTAGTAAGACGCTAGTAAGGCGCTAGTAAGGCGCTAGCTACTAGCTAGGGCTACTCTCTCTCTTATAACTCTTTTACTAGGTAGTACTTAGCTAGACAGAACTATAAGAATTAGCTAGTAGATAGTAGCTAACAGATTAGTATATATATACTCTTACCTTTTTCTATTACTACTATAAAGTTATAGAACGTCTATAGTACTCTTAAGTAGAGCGCTTACTATAAGGCCTACTACTATTAATCTAGCTACTAGTAGTTAAGGACTAGGTAAGCTACTATCTCTAAGGCCTTACTATAAGGGTACTAAAAGGTTACTACCTCTAGTACTTTATACTTAAAAAAGAAAGCCTAAAGTCTAACTTTACTAGTATAGATTAATGTTAAAAGAGAGCTCTTATACTTATAAAGAAGTAAGTACTTCTTAAGGGTATCTACTAAAAGGACAGGTAGTATAGCTAGGGCAGTACCTTAGTAGTATACTAGTAAGCTATTATATTAAGACTACTATACCTTTTAGTTCTTTTATAAAGTCTCTTTTAAAGAAGAGTCTTTATACTAGTTCTTTACTTATACGGCTTAGCCTACCTTATATTTAAGTAACGTATAAGGTAGTACTATAGTAGTACTATAGTAGTATCTCTAGTATTATTAAAGACAGTTTACTACCTTATTATAGATAGACTATATAAGTTTGTTATTTTATTAATTTAAAACGGTCGTCTACGCCCTCTACTACCTTAAAAAACTTAAAAACAAACGATAGAATTAAAATCAGTACCTTTAGATACCCTCTAGAGTACTAGTAGACTATAGGCGAGCCTATAGTAACAGATAAGGGGTGTGCTAGACTCGAATAGAGCTAGTACTACCTACTTACAAGTAGGAGCTAGTACTCTTATACCTTAACTAAGAGCTGTAGTAAGGAGCTAGAGAGTAGTAGAGGTAATAAGGACAATAGAACAAAGAGAATTATATAAAGAATTAAAGCTTACGTAATACTAGGTAAGGAAGAGGAGGCGTCGCGTCTCTTACGCGACCTTATTACTATAATAACAACAGTAGTAAAGACAAGAGCTACGAATATAGCGACTCTCTCGCGTACCTCTAGGTCCTCTTCTAACAATAACCTAGTAACGATTAGACAATTAAGAACAATGTTAAAAGAGGCCTTCTAGAGGCTAGTAGTAACGGTAGCCCCTTAGGCTACCTACGCGTTAGTAGCGAGCTAGTGCCTAACAAGAGTATAGGTTATACTAGAGAGGTAGATTAGAGAGCTAAGGATTAGAGTAGATAGACAGACAGAAGACCTAGTACGTTATAGTACTATAAAAGTAGTAATAGTAGCTAATATAGTAATTAAGGGTACTAAGGTAGTAGCGACCTGCCGGCTACCTAGTAGTAACACTATCCTTATATTTAAAGAGGCTATACTAAAGAACGCGATCTAAGATTAAGGCTAGGTATAAAGGGCGTTTAGGCCTATAGCCTAGCTCTATAAGAGTAAGTTTATAGTAATCGTAAAGGGCCTACTAGTAGAACAGATTATATAGGTAGAGCTAGAAGCGTTACTAGTAGAGATCTAAGCCTACGCGCTATATGTTACAAAAGTTAAAGTTAAACCTGTTAGGGCCCTTATAGTAAAGTTTATAATAGTAGTACTATACCTCTAGAGCGCTAACGTAGTAACACGCCTATATAAACAAGGGTTAATTTAGTAAGCCTAGATCTTTAACTACAAGCTATATTTAGCTAACTTACAAATCTAAAGATACTTTTAGTACTACTAGTTTAGTTATATTAGGCGGTTCTATAAGAACTAGGCCTAGTACAGCTACTACGTAAGAGCGGCGTACCCTTAAGGTAAAGAGGAGTACCTCTAACTTAATAGTAAAAAGAGATGCGTTAACTATAGCGGACTATACGCGGTATAAGACTATTAGTATCTTAAGGCCCTTAAGGTAAAAGAGTAAGTATATGCCGTATATTAATAAAGGCCTAGATAGTTTAAGGTATCTAAGAGTAGCTTTACTAGCCAGGTACCTAGCGTTATACTAGCGTCCTTATAGAATAGCGACAATAGCTACTAGATTATAGTATATAAGAGACTATAGACAGGTAATAGTAAGAAGCCTATAGTAAAGACTCTAGTAAGGTAAGGGCGCCTTCTTATTAAGGTACTAGATACTATAATAGTCTAGAGCTATAACATTATAGAGATGTTAAGCTAAGGGGCTAACTAGGGGCCTAGCGACCCTTTTGTAACGTAAGAATTATAGATCTTAGACTCTTAGTAATAAAATTAATAATAGTATACTAGAATACTATAAGAAGGAACGGCCTTACCTTAATAGTACTTTATAATAGCTATAAAGTCGATGTTATAGTAATTTAAGAGCTATAGTATAATACTTAAACAAAGACAGTCTACTACCTAGTATAAGTAAAGTACTAGTAGGTCTATAAGGGCAAAGGTAAAGTAGTTATCTACGTCTATAAGTAGTACCTACCTCTTACTTAGGTAGTAAAGACAGGCGTTAACTAGTGTTACGTTACTCTATAAGGTATTACTATCTAGTTAATATACTTACTAATTCCTAACTCCTTAGGCTAGGCTAGCCTTTTCTAGCGGCTTACTAGAGAGGACCTAAAGGGGCCGTAGATCGTTATAAGTAATATAAACCTTTATTACCTACTTTAAGACAGAGCTAGTAAGACTACTCCTAAATTAGAGACCCTTCTCTGTCTAGCCTACAGGTAGTAGCTCTTACTATATATACCTTAGAAAGAGCTAATATAGTAGCGATATAATAAACAAGACTTAACGATTAACTATACGTAAGTTATAGTAACGCTCTAGTGTACTTATTAAAGTAACCTAGGGTATAAGGGATCTAACTACTATACCTAGCTAATTAAGGTTACTACTTAAGTAAGGGATCGCTAAGAGAGAGCTATAAAGGTACTAGGATAGAGCTAGACCCTAATAGACTAAGAACTAGTAATAATTAAGGCTAGAAGGCTCTACCTTTCCTTAGAACCGCTAGACATACCTTATAAGGTTAATAAGGTAGTTAACTTACTTACCTCTTAGCTTATACGTATTATAGACATATCTACCCTAAGAAAGAAGGTTAACTAAGGGCGTACTAAGCCCTAGTAGAATAGTAAGGTCCTTAAGACCGTCTAGTAAGTACAGGTAGCGCGTCGTTAATACGCTACTACCTTAACTAAGCTCTACTAGCGCGACCTCTAGTAGGCTAGTACTTATTAACTCTATACAATCTAAGATATAAAAACTAAGAGCTAGCGCGGCACCCTTACTACTACCTTAAAAGACTAACAGAAACTCTAGAGCCTTAAGAGGTAGGCTAGGCTCTATAGCTATATACCCTTAGAACCGGCCTTACTTTCGCCTCTATAAGGCGCTAACAAGAAGGCACTAGCTATAAGCTACTATAACAAAGTAATAGTGTTAGGCTAGTAGTTCTTTCTAGAATTAATAGCTAATCTTAGTAACGTTATTCTAGACCTTTAAGACAAGTAATACTAACGGTTTACTATTAACGACACTATAATAAAGGCAGATATTACTAACGTTCTCTAAAAGACAGGTACCTAGAAGGTACTAGGCCTTAACCTACTACTTACTAGCTTCCTTAAGGTATACAGACGCCCCTTAGCTAAGCTCTTTACACTAATAGCGACTATAAGCCTCTAGCTAAGGTACTTCCTCGTGTAGTTTA